TGAAAATATACTGCTGGTCCATTTACAGTATTAGTATTTTCAAGTGTAATAATTCACGGCGTAAAAAGAATTGAGGTAAAATATTTTACTTTTTATTATACTAGTAATAGCATATTATAAAAGTAGTAGTATAAACCAAATGGAATAAAGTCTTTAAATGGTCAAATTGAACATTTTGACAATATTTATCGTCCCGATGTTGATATGGCTCTGATCGGTAGTTTGCCAATCAACACCAGGCGTATGCCTGAGCATCACGAAGGGGTCACGGGCCGCGAGGGGCTATTTTTCCTCTCCTTGTCCCATCCTCATCCTTTACTTACACACATTTACACTTGCATGCAATACGCTACCACCCCTGTTGGGAGTCCAGCCGGCAACTTAGAACTTCTCCCGATTGGGAGATGTCTGGTTGGAAAAAATGTCGCAAAGCGACGTGTAGGTCGGCGCCAGATTTCGCCATCCAGTGGGGGAAGAGCACTGTCACCTCCCTCGACGAAACATGTATTACGCTTACAGGACCGTACCTTAGCAGCTGACACGCTCGAAACACTAATCAATCAATAAAGTCATCTGTGAAGTCAACGCATGCGCGTGGCGCATCGGTCTGTGCAGCTGAGTAGTGTCGAAAATCCTGCCGCCGTCAGGACTGGAACCCTATGACCTCCCAGACTGAGGTAAAAACCTGAAAGAGATAACACAAACATCGACGAGAGCGTGGAAACATCGCCAGATGAACGCGAACACCAAACATCGTACTATCTGGTTGAAATTATTAGGAACAAATTAAGTTTTAATGTCACTTTCAGGCAAGAACTGGATTGAAAGAGTTATATGCACGATAATGTGGTATGTTCCATTAAAAAGGGTTTCCACTCGTAATTCTCTTCTTTATATTCAGGTAGTTTTCTACACAGAGATCACAATTTCACTGAATTAAGAGGTTGTATCCTTTTAGCTAAAGGAAAATGTAAATCGTGTAACTCGTCGCTAATGTAAATCGTGGTATATATGCCAAAGTTTTGGTGGAAAAAAATTTAAAATTCCTTACTCATACACGCTTTGCCTTTCTTTAATATACTTTATTTTCTCACAATAATGAGAAATTTCAGAAAATTCATATTTATATTTTTAGTTGAATCAAACGCATTGCTCTGCTCTTCAGCACGACGAAACTAGTTTTTTACGATATTTTGTTTTGTTTAGAGTTTGATATTTACGAAGCCTTATAATGGAGTCAACCGTCATTCAAACCGGAAGATGAGAAAAGATGTGAAATAAAAAATAAAATGAAGCCAAAAACGTATAACAGCGACAAACAAGAATAGAAGTAGATATTTAAGCGGAAGAAGGAAAGTAATACAAGTGGACCTGAAAAAACAAGACATAATATGACTCATATGGCGACTTCCTACTTTATATTCCCGAAAGTCGTCGGAAAACCGTAACATAAAATCTTTAGTTTTATGTACGATAACCCTGTAATCCTTTCTTTATTGTGGAATTATAAATAGAGCGTTTGTATATAAACCAAAACTAAACATTGAATAAAAAACTTTGTTAAGAAAATTTGTTTTTTTAAAATTATTAGTTAACATTTTGAAAAAAATGCTAAAAATATATAAACATTCATGACACAACTATTGTTTTGGTTCAAACATTAGTTATTTTTATCTTCATTAATGAACAAATGTACTGAAGCGATATAGCTAGTTTTGTAAAGTTGAGATGCCACAGTGCATGTTTACAAAATTCGATTAAAATTTCCATTGCACATTTCATTTATCATCCACAATAAAGTTTCAATAATTTTCTTAATGTTTTTGTGTTGATTCAATCATTATATCAATAAAACGTATTATGAAGCAATATTTAACATGTTGTCATGTTTTGTGTATACTTAAATACGAAAAGGAGCTTATAAATTAGAATATTTCATAAGAACATTCAGCAGATTGTTCCCTTGCGGAATTAACTGGAGTGAACCTAACGGTCTTGTGGAAATCTGAACATTGAATAACAGAAGTAAAGAAATATTGTGTTCATGTCGGTATAAAAGAAAATGATGCAGCAGATAAACTGGCTAAGTTAGGCTGACGTAATGTACGAAGTGATTATCTTCGGATGATTACGATCAAGACAGAACTGTGTAAAGTAAAGAATGAAATTACTTATCAGTAAATTAAAAAGTATCAGGAAACTCGTATTTATAAGTTCTATTGTTAAATTTAGAAGGAAAATGCAGGATGTCCGTATGAGATGCTGAATTGGCCATTTACATTTATCCATTATCATTTCATTACCAAAGAGGCCTACGCCTGTTGAGTACGCTATATTCATGACCTAGAATTATGAGATTACCTGACAGTTTTAGTTACTTAAACTGTAAAATGCACAAACAAATTCAAATCCGTTTTGTAATGCACTTCAATTTTTGGTTGCAAATAAATATGTGAAGAAGATGCGACGTTATAAAGGACGCCAGCCTTTCCTTCTTTTTACACCATCTAAAGCACTGGATGCTCATGTAGTCAAGTTTTACTTTCATCAAGCTTCGCATCCCATCTTGCTACTAACCATATCAGAACTATAACCAATATTATAAGAATCATGACTAGTGCAAGCAATACCCATTTCCAGCAGTTCCAATTGCACCTTCGTCGCCAAGCACTAAGGCAGGAACCACTAGGTTTCTCTTCTGAGTCCGCAGCGTCGTTTGCTCGCGTTTGAACATCCGGCTTTGACGACACGGAAGGCGGTGTTGGGGCGTCTACAGACCCGGAAGGGGGTTTTAAATTCATCCCACGTAGTATGTATCTTCGTGAATATCTTCTGCTAGTTCTAGGAGACACGTCACGTCTCGGTACAACTCCCGCACTTTGTGCCGAATATCTCCTGACAGCGAAAGTCCCCGTCAGTCCCGGCACCACAACCCCTCTTGGAGGAGGAACGGCCGCACTCGGGGTCGAGTATCGTCTGGCAGGCGCGGCCCCAGGTCCCGCTGGCACCGCGCCGGGCCTCGGCGCAACCCCGGCGGTGGCGTCCAACGTGGCCCTCCTCGAGGCGGGCCCTGCGTCCGACGTCGCGGCGCCCAGCGGCGTCGACGGCGGCGGCGGCGCGGCGTCGGGCGGCCGGCCGCCCGCGGGCACGGGCGTCGCCACCCACAGCGTCCGAGGCCGTCGTGCCTGTTCCGGGACCCGCCCGCGCGCCGCCATCGCCCGCTGCCTCGCCGCCCCGTCGCTCTCGCTGTCGCCCCGCGCTCGCCCGAACCGAAACTGCGTTTAGACAGTTGACCGTCTCATGTTGACAAACATGCTTCCCGAGCCCTCTCAATTCGCGGGACAGACAGTTTAGGAAATAGTATAAAGTTTAAGGGGCCGTGGTCGCCATTGTAGTGGGTGATTTCAAATCGAAAGCCCATTTTAACAATCGATTTACTTTCTCGTACACGTACGTGTATATGGAGTAATATAAACGCGCTGAATAGTCAAATTATATCCACTTGAATACTAATTTTCTATTTCTATTTTCTATGAGTTCGGCTAGCTATTCGGACGTGTCACATACCAGCTGCCATATCGCTTCACAAAGAACATTTCTTAGAAATGTTCTTAATTTTTTGGCTTCTTAATAGTAGAATAGAAGTATTATTTTAAGAATATTAAAGAACAGTAAAACCTCATCCTAATGGTAATGGAAATTTCATTCGATAAATTTGGATGCCGTTTTTAATAAAATGTTCTTTAACGCTACTGTCAATTCGCAATGCGTTATTCGAGGAGCGCAAAGAGGCTCATTACGTAATGTTCCCATATGTCCAGTCAGGAAATACTGAAAGAAAGGAGCGGGAGTTGCTTGGCAGAAGATGATACTTTTTCTTTTAGTATATAGCATGTACCTAGGTACTAGTTAAAACCTTAAGTTTTCGACTACCCAGACTCTGTGATAGCTCAGAGGCCCAAAAAACAGTATTTGTTTCGTTTGTTCTCTAAAGCTCTTTAACCCTAAGTCCTGTAGAAAAATTATTCAAATCAAAAATTAAGTTTTCTGAAAAGCTGTAGCTCGCTTGATTATTTGTTTTGAAAAAATGCTTTAAATAAAAGTTGTAGGAAATTTCATCCTATTTAAAATTTATTTGAATCATTTTTAGAGAACTTTTGGTTAAAGAGGTATAGAGAAAAAAATACAAAAGTACCCGTTTTTGGGCCTCCCGGAGTTAGCATAGGGTTTGGAAGGTCGAAAACGTGTTTTTACTAGTGCCAGGATACTTGCAACATTCTCAAAAAAGTTTTTATGGACTTTTTCTAAGTAAAATGTGCATACCGACTTGCCAACAGGAATGATAGGATATGTGAGGCACTGATAGGGCTTTTAGGCGCTGATAGACTGCAATTGGGAAGTGCGTGTTGAGAAAACGAAAGGTTAACTCCGACACAAAAGGAAAGGTATCTCACCAATATGAGAACGTCTGTGACATTCTGTAGCACCACTAGTTTTATTTACATGAGTGCACCACATGTAAATAAGTATGTTTATTCACACTTGATTTTCTAATCGGTGGTATTGCTTTGTTAATAGCCGATGGAAATAAAAAAGAAACTGCTCAAATTAAAACGATAATTACAAGTTTTTTATTGTTGTAAAGAACAAACCAGGAATCTATAAAAATATGCAAAACAATGAATAAAATTAACATTATAATAATTGAAGTTTTCTTATAATCTTGTTAGTTTACACGAGAAGTGATTGTATTCTGGCTTTAAGTTTAAAAAACTATATAAATATTTCAATTATAATTACACAGTTATAAAATGTTCGAAACGCAACTTAATAACCTTTGCACAAGATGTATTTTGTTACAAAAAAAGAACTTAACTGAAAGCTGGCGAATATACTTCAAAGTGCTTTTCTTTGTGAACAAGATAATATTAAAATACTTTCCAAATTTTGCAATTGAATGAAAGAACTATTGTAATACGAGATCCGAAAGTTGCACATGGTATGAAACTTCGTTCCAAACATTCAAACTCAGCGGAGACCTCAGATGCAATCATTGCAGGGATGCTCTTCTAGGAAGTTGAATGGTTTGGAAAATTGTTGACGCTTTGTGTAATAGCTGAATCAGTCAGCAGTAGGTGGATCACTGAAAATAACATAAGAATTTGCAAGCAATACCATGACGTATCGGAGAGTATAATTATTTTCTTCGTCGTCATCCTTCAAACACTCACTAAATTACACGAAAAAGGGATTATGGCTACACTACGTGTTAAAGGATATTTTTAAATTTAACAACTTGATTTATTCACATTTATTGTTACCAGTGACATGTAATAAGTGTTTTTGTGCCAAAAATCGACGTGTTTTGCGCAGCATTACATAACCTTTTCTTCTTAACAAGCGCCTTCTTAAGGGGCGAGAAAGTAAAAAATGCGAACTGTGTCTCTTGTAAGAATGTATGTAGCAAAGTAATGGAACGAAAGGGCTGAGATTCTGAACAATGTAATAATGATAATTAATTCAGAAATAAGAAAGCCCGATGCAACGAAAAATGCCTCTTGTCTGTCCGTATGACCCTATAATAACACAGTCGGCAAGTACTGAAAAATGATATGAGAAAAGATCTTATAGATTTTCTTTAGTTATATTGTATGTACCCATGCATACCAACCAGACCCTGTGCTAACTCCGGGAGGCCCAAAATACCGGTATTTTTGCTGACATTGTTAATTTTACTGCTGCCCTAATATTGGCAGTTGCTCGTACATTAATGTCGTACTTCATTGAAGCTGTAATATAACTTTCATCGATAAACAATATTTTAAATATCATATGAATTTGACAAATTGCGGATTTTTTCTAAAAATAAAAGATTTTAAAGTTCGTAATAAAAGAAATACTTTTCAACAGTTATCAGTTACAGTCCCTGATTAGAGTAATTTACTGTTTACAGTGCTTTTCAGTTACAAGTAAAGTACGTCACTACAGTTTATACTGAAATATGCAGCTGCTATGTCTGGTAGTGTTGCCATCTACATGTAGTTGAGAACTACTGATCTTACAAACCGTGCATTTAGTGGGATGTGATACATTCATCCTGTGCAGGGGTAGCAGGAGTAATAGGTGCCACGGGGTATTGGGAGTCAGAGGTAAATTATTATCGATAAATATCAATAATCAAACCACATTGAAAGGAAGAGACATGTGCTTATACCTATCTTAGTCATGTCTATTCCACTCGTGAAGTGAAAACCAACAGTGTTTAACAACTATACATATAAATGCCCCCGGCATATCTAAAAAAATTTGCTTTTTTTTCGATTTTTCTTACCGCCCTTCCCTACTGACCAATAAAAAACTGCGACCCATCTATCTTAGGAGGAGGTATGAATCGATCGTGTTAATGTGCAATAAACCGAATATGTTCTTTAACATAACTTCATTGATTTTAACATGATTTCAGTTATTTTAAATATTTGGTGCAATTGGGAACTCTTTTGGACGTCATTTCATTCGTGAAATTGTCTTATTAAACTCCTCGTTCTTTGGAAATTCTTAGATAAATCTCTCCTCCCTTCGCAAGTCGGTGATTTATCGACAATTTTCGAAGAATTCTTGTAATTACCTAAGACTTATTCATGTCTGTCCGTGTCGTAAGAAACCAATACTAAGCAAGAATATATTAAAATTAAACCAATCCCAGATATCTATCGCTACATGGTTTTCACTTTTTTAACCTTTTGCGCACCGCTGTATTCACTTAGTTTACCTTTTTGTTTGTTTTCGGTACATAATAGTTCGAGAAAATCAAAATAATATTAAAATGTGTCGTTTTGGTAATGTTTAAAACTCTGAAATAAAATATATTATTAAAGATTCAATGCCGAAAAACGGCAAAAGAAATAGAGTAGGTGTACGGAAGTAATTTGAAGAATTTTGTGCAGACAGAAAGTACAAATGGACAGCACGAACTACAAATGAACTTATACGTATTTTAGGCAATTAATATGCGAAGATTAGATGGTTAAGAGTACAAAGAAAATGCTATCAAAACTATGTGGAACATTACAACTAAAGTTATTCAGGAAAATACTTTAATGAATACATACATTTGTTCAATACATTCGAAACTTTTGAATCTCGCTGCTATTTCATCTTGTTCAAATCCACGGAATACCAAGGCATGTAAAACTTAACTTACTACAACTTTAATAATTGTATTTTAATAAATATTCTTGTACGTAGCTTTGTCATAATTATTTTTTATAATTTTATTACCATAAAATCAAAATATCTTTCAAATAATTTTCTGCATTAAGCTGTTATTCATATTTTACTTGATTATAAGTCGGGCAGTGACTACTTGGAGCTCAATGAAAGTTCACGTGTTCCGGCAGAAGTTTTGAGTAATATTCGTATTTTGTGTAATTCCTGTGATTTTAATTACCCATTCATGCAATGTCTTCAACCTCGAAAAAGTCACACTAAATATCAGTCGAAGTGCTGTGATAACCGGTATATTCACTGTTCACGCTGCGAAGAGTGCTATTGCTTGTGGTAACTACAGCTAGTCGATCGCCGCTGAAAAAAAAAAGCTTACACCGAAAATTATCGCGTTTGTACCAATAAAGTGAGTGGTTGATGTTTTAAAGTGCTTTCAGAAAATAAGATCTTAATCACGTGAACTTCTAGATTTCTGAAAGAATTAAAATTTGTTGGAGGGGAAGTACTTCAGCATATCATTAGATACCAATGCATTCTATTAAACATTCTATAAACATTTATGAGTAGTTGATAAAAATGTGCTTGTGTGGGTAATGGTCAGTACTTCTCATTATTGCAGCGTGACTGACATTGTCTCAAACAAAATAATTCATTGATATGGATATGTTTAAAGGATCCCTTGGTGCTATTTACATCTGTAGCAACAACGGCTGACCGGATGAAGAAATGCTCGAATGACGGAGGCTCTAAAACTCAAAAGCCTCATTTAACCAACTGCCCAGGACACAGTGCTGCTGATCTTAGATCTTAGTTTTCTTTTGCCAATTCCTGTGTCCCATATAGTAGCTCGACGTGCCCACCTCTTCGCATCCATTCGCATTATGTGACTGCCCATCTCCCTTTGATATTCTTTGCCTCTGTGCATAATCTTTGAATTTCGTTCTCTTGCGGAGATTTTCATTTCTTATTCTCTCTCTGAGCGTTATTTATAGAGTTTTTCTTTCTATTTTTCTTTGCCAAATTTTTATATCATTGCTTGTTTTGGCGTTTAGAGACTACGTCTGAGATTCGTATAGTAGAACCCATGATCATGAGATAATGAATATGTAATTGACGGCAGAGAAATAAAAGTTTAGCAACAAAATTATGATTCAAAGTTAAGAAAAAACTTTCGTTTAATAAGATCTTCAGATGTTGGTCCGTGAAAACGATCTCGTCCAATTTCTTTTATTCTTGCAAAATGTGGACATTTCGAGACTATCTGCATTTTCTCCAAATCAGTATTGTTTCAAAATTAATTTAGTTCAAGGATATTTTTTGATTTTCTTTTTTTAAAGATCTCAATGAAATGGTAATTATGTATTATCACAAAAAAGAAAAAAATAGCGTCAGTACTGGGGGAGAGGGTGAAAATTCCTCTTTTTTCCTCCAAAATGCAGTTTAAAGCAGAATTGTAATTGGTGGTTTCGAATAATTTCCGTTTGTTCCTTTGGGTTAGAGGTAAAAGTAATGACAATGAGAAATTTCATAATAAGTACATGGAAATAAATACAAGGAAAGCTTTATTTTGAAGGGCAGACTTCCAGTTTAAATTAATTTCTTATTGAAGATGTATCAGGAAGGAGTAGTATATTATTGATACCCCGACATTAAAGCTTTTAAATTCTCCATAAGTAAATCTTCATTCAGAAACGATTATTTGTTTAGTTATTTTTAGCAATACAAATAACTAGGGATGCTTCATTTAGAAATACTAAATGATTTTTCTTTCACTTTAAATTATTATTTCCATTCCCTTGGTAAATTCTTAAATCCACATTTGTATTGTAATTTGAAAAATATCTGTTTAATTTAATTGAGAATGCACAACTTCAACTGACTGCTCTTTAAATGCTCTTTAAATTACACGTTTAATACTCAGATAATAACAATAATGTAAAAAACAAGTTTAAAGTGTTCAATTAATAGTTCACTTAATAAAAATAAAAGGAAATTAGATAACGTAATACTTAACAATAAAAGCTAAAAATGTAAACAAAGACACTGGAAAGTAATTGTACCATAGTAATGCCCGCGTGTAGCGGAGGGTGAATGAAAGCTATTTATATAAAGTATTGTATTGAAAGTTTAAATATGTTACAAAACCAAAGAAATACCTTGCTCGAGTGCTTATTATGTACCATGCCATGAGGATACTGCCAAGAGTTATCACCGACATGACAGTTGTCCCTAAAAGCACTCGGAACCACACATTCCTCATTGTACACCATCGAGCACATGCTCCACACATAGGTTCTTCATCGGAGCCGTCTGACGTCGAAGTCCTTTGTGCATTCGTCGGTGGCATATTTTGATAATAATATTCACTGCATATTCACACACTGAGACATAAGAAAAAAAATGTTTCTGAACAATGAGCACATGTAGTGGAGTAGTCAAAGAATAATGTGTGCTTCCTACATTCTATTGTTTTCTTACAATATATCTGATATTATAAGGCAAGTAATATAGAAAAAAGTAAATTAAGGAAAGTAAAAAACGCCATGGAGTAAAAAAGATCATACAAAGTTAGTTCATGTGATTTGATTAAATTAATAACGATTTTTTGGTAATTAATTAACACAAGCTACATGATTGTGTATTGTTTAAGGCTCATATATTTGAACTCATGTTTATATGTTAATGTAACACTCTTTTTACAAACTATACGAAGATAAAGTATGTCATAGAACCCAATGAATGTTTTTCTACGGTGACACGGGTTATATTTAATGTTTTTAAGAAATTGTGAATTAAGAAGTAACAATGAATCTACTTAGTAAATACGTTCTGGAATTCGAAATCTCTGATTGCTGAAAGTGATGTACATTTTGAACTAATTGATAATTTAATAAATATATTTATAAGATTAGATATTGTCATAAAAGAGCTCGCGTATGCAATAATTCTTTCCCCTTTAAAACGCGTCCACAATAATTTCCTTTTTATGTACTCGCAAATGAAATCTCTTGATTGGAATGAGTTTTGAGGTTCCCAGTTCACACTGTGAAGACTCTTCACAACCGCACTTATTTCTTAAACGCTCTGTCGATATATACACCACACCTTTATATACTTTAAATCAGGGCTGATCAAACAGGTAACCCACCCAGGTCCGCACGTTTCTGCGGCCAACCGACGTGTAATCAACCTAACGGCAGGGGCGAGGGGAAGCACTGCTTGCGTCGCTGATAGAGGGGAAGGAAAGGGTAAAATAGTCTAGTCCAGTGAAATGAGGAGGCACTGCTTGCGTTGCTGATAGAGGGGAAGGGAGAAGGTAAAGGAATCTAGTGCAGTGGAATGGGGAGACACTGCTTGCGTTGTTGATAGAGTGAAAGGAGGGGTAAAGGAGTATAGTGCAGTGAAATGAGGAGACACTGATTGCGTTGCTGATAGAGGCGAAGGGAGGGGTAAAGGAGTCTCGTGCAAAGAAATAGGGAGACATTGCTTGCGTTGCTGATAGAGGGGAAGGGAAGGGCAAAGTAGTCTAGTCCAGTGAAATGAGGAGGCACTGCTTGCGTTGCTGATAGAGGGGAAGGGAGGGGTAAATATACTGCAGTAAAATAGGAAGGAACTGCTTGCGTTGCTGATAGAGGGGAAAGGAGGAGTAAAGGAGCCTTGTACAGTGAAAAGGGAGTGGCACGAGAGTGTGCCACCACCGGCCGAAATCTTGCGTTCGAACAGCCCTGCTTTAAACAAGCAAAAGAGACAGAGAGAAAATGATTTGCAATAAAAGAAAAGAAGGAGTTTACTAAATATAGTATATTTATTTTTGTGATTACAACAAGAAATATATAGGATATGTTATGTTCCTGGGAGAAACGTTGAAGATGTATAGTAAGACGTCACAGTTCGGCTGCCACGACGGATTACATGCTGCGATGCCATCTTGCACAGCTGTTGGACAGGGGCTGTGATAAGGACAAGAGTAAGGGTTCAACAAATAACATGATTCACAAGACTATGAACATGGGATTCCACATGCGTTCTTAGATCTCGAATAATCTTATTCTATTGGCAAGAGCATGATGCTAAATTCTAAGAGTTTCCATTATTGCACAGATTCGTTCGGTAAACTGCTTCTTCAATTACGTGTGTTTTATAAATTAACATTTCTCGTTTAATTGCAAACTATTTTGGTTAGATAAGACAATATTCGAATTTTTTATCAAATGGTTTTCTTTATTTATTTAATATTTAATATTGTAATAGTTTCTGATGGTGCGTTCGGAAATATATGATTTACGGAATAAACGTTATTTAACGTACATTAAAACAAAATTTGGAAGAAAGTAGGAAAAAAACTTTTCTCTTATACATCGTTTCGATCCTCCACTGATTGAACGCTCTGTCAGGAATGTCCGTAACAACGCATGCTCGTGTGAAGTTTAACATTCGTGCCAAGACAAACATTTTCAATGTACGCAGGTTAGACGACACGACCGTATATCTAGAACTGTACTGATGGAAAGGTCTGGCGCAGCTGAGAGAGCAGCGGATCCGAGGGGCGGTGCGGGGGCGGCCTCTACTGCAGGTCCACGCCCTGCAGCGCGGCGGAGCGCCGGTAATTCTGCAGCTGCAACAACAAACAGCGCGGAGTAAGCAACGCATTTCGGATACACGCTGTTTGAACACATAGTTTCACTTTTCCGTGGAAAAAAGTAATCTTTGGAATAGTATCTCAAATGACGAAACTGATGGAAGGTGAAACAAAAAAACAACAACAAAAAAGGCAACGGATATTTATGAATTGAACGATCTCCAACGTGAATCCTACTTTCGAATACATAATATGATGATACTGAAAAACATGTATACATAATCAACATTCGCATGGTTTTCACGTTTTCAACTTTACTGGATAAACGTATCGAGAGGTTTTCAGTTCAGTAATTTTTTGAGACGAATGGCTGTTTGGGAGGAATGCTTTTTTTTTGTTGAGGAAATTGACTGGTTGATTGACTCGTGTGGCAACTGTTAAGGACATTTGCTCCGTAAGTTTAGTACATATTTTATGGAGGGAGGTGGCGGTGATCTCCCCCCCCCCTGGATGTCGAGTTACGACGCCATGTGTGCTCGCGAGGTTTTTCCCACCTAGACATCTCCCACCGGTGGGATAGCGCTCCAACCTGCACACTCTACGCTTTCCCACATACGTGGTAGTGTGGTGCATGTAAATGTACGAGAGTGAATATAGGAAAAGGAAGAGGAAGGAAAGATCGCGCGCGGTCCTTGGCACATTTGTTCGGGTACAGCTGCGGAATGGGCCTAGTGATGGTCGACGAGACTACGGAGAACTACCAATCAGAGTAGCTGGTCGCTAGAATTCCCCTCCAGAGTGAGGATGTTGAACATCCTCAAATTCTCCTCACACAATTGTGGTATAAGAACTTCAAGGTATGATCAATAGACTCGGACACTGTTCTGCCCTTGACCGTGCCAACCGCAAAGATGAATCGATCCAACGGAGCATCTGAATAAGAACGGCGCCAACTACTCCACATGTTGACTCTGCTGATTGGCCGTCTCGCTGCGGAGGCGTCGGGGCTCAAATGGGCTCCGAAACAAAAGAGTGAGCGCCTCCTCTCTAATGGAATGGCGAGCGCCCCCGCGCCTCCCCCTCCCCCTCCCCCTCGTACCGTGCCCCCGCAATGGTGGTGCCTGTCCGATGCCTTGACGCGCACGCCTTTCCCTTCCACTGGAGAAAATGTTTCCAGAAATCTGGTCCTCAGTGTTCATCACCACGAGTGCTTTGGAAGTTGTCGATAAATCCCCGACACGCGAAGCGATGAGGGGATTTATCTGAGAATTTCCAAAGCACGAGTGGTATATAACAGGACTATTCCATGATTGAAATTACGTTCAACGGGGGGTTCCAAAATGCGCCAAATAATGAAAATAACTGAAATCAAGTTGAAATCAAATAAGTCATATTATAGCGCACACACGGTTTATTACAAATCAACCCAGCAATCGATACATACTACCTCCTAAGATATGGGAGTGTAAAACATCTAAGTAATTTACTACATATATGAACACGATTTATCTATTTTCTCCATACCATGGCCTCACAAAACGAGTTTTTGTGTTATTGTTAATTTTTTGCCGCAGTAGAGCAATTCGTAAATCGCGACTATGTAAGTACGTAGTAAGGCGATAAAAATTAAAATAAGAAGAAGAATCAAACTTAAATAGTAAATATCGATCCTGAAAATGTATTAGAAGAGAAGTAACTGAGTTAAAGGGAAAATTGAAACAAAACTTTAAGGAAGAGAGGGATAGATAAAAAGATCAATTAGAAAATAAAATGAAAAAAACTGAAAGAAAATTAGTGAGTAAATTGGGAGAAAAGAGTAAATTGTTACAAGGTAAAAGAGAGAAGCAATAAGCAGCTCTATCAGAGACAGCAGAAAATACAAGAAAACGTTAAGCTTTGGGATGAGAAGATGATAGATAACTTTGTCTTACAAGATGGCAAGAAAGTGATAGAGTCTCGGATAGACTTTCTGATATAAAAAGGCAAGATAAACTATTCTGAAAAAAGCTTGTTAGTGGCACAAGTTACCACTAGTTATGTGTGCAAGAAATGCAGAGAAGAGTGGATGGAAATATTGTAGGAAACTATTACTTTCGAGAGAATTACAAATTAACATTTTAGAAATCATTTGAAACCTATTTGAAATACAAAAATAAAATACAAAATAATATAAAATACAAAATAAAACAAAAAATATAAAATACAAAAAGCTAGCCTTAAGGAAATATCAGATTGCAATGCAACAACGACTCGGGAGCTCAGTGAATTAGTTTTTTTTTTGTTGGGACATGATTTACCTGTAAGAAAAGCAGGTATAATTGTAACATTTGTGTTGCTATTTGCTACAAAATATTTAGCAACTAATGAGTTTTACAATAAAAAGATAAAAGAAAAAAGAAAGAAAGTAATAAGAAAAAAAGACCGGTATGTGTTAATTCAGAGAGAAATTATGATATAAATAGTATTATATAACTATTACTAAAGCCGAGAAAGTGCGTGCTATTTTAGTACCACTAGTTTGACTAATGTATGAGGCTGTTTGGAAAATAATTTTATGTAGTTTAGTTGGGCAACATTGTTGCCTCTGTAGACGACTTGTGACTCAATCGCCTCCATCGTCGCCTGCGAGTCATTTGACTATTGTGTGATTCTGTTTGGACAATAATTTTGTGTGGTTTTGTTGAGCAGCAACGTGGTCTCTGCAACGAGCTAGTGACTCAATAGCTTCTATCCTCGCCTGCGAGCGTTATTTGAGTATTGTGGGTGAAAATCATTTTGTGTAGTTTTGTTCATGCCACTAGTGACTCTATGGCCTCCAAGTATGGCGC